CCGCAAATGAATACAGCCGAATCCGTCGATTCATCTTGTAGTGGTGCGTCAAATGCAACGTAGATTCCCATCCAATTAGATTGAATTTGGTATTGATGACGTGAAAAATAATAACGGTAACTCCATTGAAATGATTCAAAACTAAAGTAACGAGCCAATTTTTTAAAATGTAAGGAGTAGAAAGTACAGATATTTGTGTAAAAATGTAAGGAGTAGAAGTAAAAAGTCGCCATAAAAATAAGTAGTAAAGCAAAGTAAAAATATCAGAAAAATCTACTTGAGTACAGTAATGAAGTATTTGTACTTCGTTACTTCCCATCTCTGATTGGCTTCAATGCTTAGGAATCAGAGGAATATGGGGAGCAGCTGAGAATTAAGAAAAGCTGGAAGACTAAGGAAGAAAGAGTAAATAATAGAAGTGGAGCTGAAATACAAAGACAAACTTTTAAATCAATATAAAAAAAACAGATATCTAATAGAAGAAAACCAAACGTACAAAGAAAATAGCTTAGAATTAACTAAGACACTAAACACAGAGAAATAAAGCCATTTGGCAACACCTTTCTAGCTCTAAAAAACACAGAACTGAACATGTTAAAACGTTATAAACAAAAATAAAGAACTTAAAAAAGAAAATGCTGCATTGCTTGAGGGAAAGAAAAGTCCAATATGTCCTCCTCAATAATCCACCTTTCGTATTCCATTTTCAGAGTTTTTTAAAGTGTTTAACAGAGACGTTAGCACCTCGACGTCGGAGTACACACAGTGAAGCAGAAACACTTGGGCCTTGCGAAAAGACTACAACTAAGCGTAAACAGGCCCCATTTCCGTTTCCGGTGGCGGAGGGATATTGACTATTCCAACAGAACTCAATGGGATTTACAAAATGCTAAATAAAACACTACAAGAACGTTTTTTCTTTACGAAACTTTTTTTGGAACGTCATTGAACAGCGCTGACGACCCGGTGAGTAGCATATTTTTAAAAAAGAACGTTTAAGGTTGTTTTAAGGACATTATCGGACATGCACTATGGAAGCCATTCTGAAGCAGCCAGGGGGGGATTCTGCATGAGCCAAATAGCAGAGACAGGACCAATTGTCAAAATTTTGGTGTCAATCATTCGATTTCATCCTGGACACTACAGAAAATGGGCTAAAAGTGTTAAAAAACGGAATTTTCCTTTAAGGTCTCTGAATAGGGTGTGTAACATTGGTTGGGCTGAAAATGGCATATTTGCTGTTTTATGAGCCTTAATGCAAGCCTGGTTAAAAGCCCTAGATTGAAATGACAGGTATTCTTCCTTTTATGGTATGCTCATGAATATTTAGATGAGCTGTGTGCTGATTGGTTGGTTTACAACGAGCGAAGCTGCTGAGCAAAGACACATCATAGCAACAAGCACTCACTCACTGAAACATCAAATTGTTGATATGTAGGGTGACCAGACGTTCTCTTTTTCCTGGACATGCCCTACTTTTCATACCTAAAAACATTATGTTCATGGGGAACCCCGTTTGACGGGGGCAGGTAGTCAGCGGGGGACGGAGCGACGGATCCTGACCAGGTGTTGGTAGCCTGGACACCGGCTGCCCCGTGCTTCCTCCGTCTGCCTTAAATGCTAGCATTGCTATTAACAGCTTTGCGACAAAAGCTGTCTTCAGTAAAATGTTTAGAGCAAATGAACAGCTGAACATCAAACTTTGCAGGGATCTTCTGGTACACAAAAATAATCCACGCCTGTGGAGTCTTCGGATCCTTGGGAAGACTGTGAAAATGTTCCCCTTCCTCCGTGCAGCCTTGAACACGGCATTTACCGCCGTGGTTCTGGCTCATTTTCAATAGAGAAACTGCCTGCTTTGTAATTCTTGTAGAAGTAAACCCAACTGTAAGCTAAACAGCTAGACTGGTGTCTTCCATCTACCTCTATTCATGTTCTTGGGCCAGTGAACCAGTGGGCTGGTCTGTATGTCAATTTCGGAGTGTGACAAAAGTACAGCCCAGAACCAAATAAGGCAACATCCCCAAGTTTTCGTCAACTCAGGGTTTTGCTTGGATTCACCTGTTTTATGGTGGAAGTTTAGAAATGTGGGATTTGCATAGAAAGGAGGGTTGATGGGGTTTGAACTTCTCTGTTTGACCCACTGAAGTATCATTGTTCATCTATGACAACGGAAACTTGGTTTTTCATTCTGTGACCCTTTTGAAGATTCTACTAAGATACTGTAAAATCTCCAAAAGCTCAAAGGTTTTCAACAAGTATTTAACGGTTGGAGTCTGTTTGTTAAACTTAAACATGTTAAACCATTTGTGCTCTTAAAATAAAAAAAATCCCCTCTTCCTGCAGTGTCATTTAGAGGCTCAGTGATACAGTAAACGTTTTACTGTAATTTAACCTATTCTACAAACTGTAACCATTGATTACGTAAGCTGAGTCATAACTAACATCTATATAAAAGAAGAAGTTTTACTTCAAAGATGTCCTCCATGTGCTCTGACTTCTATTAGACTTAGGGAATTGCTGGCAGAAAAAAAATATTTAGACAATCCATGCATTTTGCTGATTAGACCAGCAGAGGGCAGAAAGGGTCTGTAATTTGGTTATAGGTTTATTTTCATTGTTCCACAAAATGTTCAGTGAGAAAGCAGAATCTCTAAGAGGAATGATTATTACATTTAACTGCTCTCTGTCTCTAGAGGGGTGCCTCTTTATGATTTTAGATTGAAGGAGGGATGGTTCAAAGTGCTATCTGTACCTGTACAGAAGATAGCAGTTCAGATTCCTCAATCCTTTGGAGTTTTCTGGAGCAATAGGATAAATGCAGGCTTTAATGCTATTTTGGACTTGATTGGATTTGTTCAAAATATGCATAGACCTACACAGTCTCATCTTCATACTTTGGACTTTGTGCTAACATTGATTGGGAAGAAATTAAAGTATTACGTTGCAACATATATATCTTCTTCGTAAACTTTAGTTAATTTAACAGGGTTTCCCTTCCCCAACAGGTTTCACTTCAGCTCATCTGTATCAGAAAAACATGCAGAGGGCCTTGATATTTTCTTTTTTACAAATTCATGATTTTGTTGATGACACAACAGCACCCCAAAATATTGCAAAATTGAGAAATATCTTGTCCACTGATGCTGAAAAACTAGTCTATAGAGTTGTATTGTTTTTTTTTTTTAAGCTGGACTACAGTGATTCATTACCTTCTGGAAGTTCTCAAAATGTTCTTGATCCAAAACGCTGCAGCCAGAGTTTAGTTAAAAACTAAAGACAGATAAAAGATCGACAGATGGGTTCTTTTGGCATCTTAGATGATCCATAAACCTTGTGGTCCAGCAGCCAAACTCTAACATTAAGTAAGGACCCAAAATAATTTCTGACACTGAAGCAGAAATGGTTTCTTGAGGATTTAATAACAAAAGGATAACAGAAGCAAAAGTCCAAAAACATAAATCTACTAGAATCCAAAACTACTGAAAACCAGGAATACTCACAACAAGGGGGCAAAGAAATGATGACAAACAGCAACAAGTGACTGAATAGGAGGAGGATATATGTGAGAGAGAAACAAAGGCCAGACTAACTAGCAGATTGGGAGCAGGTGTGAACAGAGGAGGCAAGAAGGGAGTGAGGGAAAAGGAGACTGACACAAGAGGGCAAACAAGAAATATCTAAAAAATCATATACAATCAAAAAATGGAAATAAGACCAATGAAAACTTAGAGATAAAACTTGAATAGAACCAAAACCATGACAGATTCCACCAGTCCTGGTAATGAGAGCAGTGACCTATTAACTTTAAGGTTTGCGGTTGAGCTTCTTCCTCTTTGTCGCTACCTTCATGCTAAACAAAGCAGAGGGCCATGTCCTCTTTGGGAGACCCAGTTAAAGACACAGACAGACAGACAGACAGACAGACAGACAGACAGAGATTGAAGCTAAATGTATTTAGGGTGGAGTGGTCACTAATAACAAGTAAAAATAAAAATGTCATTGAACCCACTAAAGTAGAAATAAATAGATAAACAAATTGGATAAATATGTTTGTGTGCTACTTAACATTTATGGATACAACACTATGGAGCACAACGATAAACCAATGACTGTCCTTAGTTTGACTATTGAACCATAGACATGATTTTAGCTTGTTGAGTTTTTCTAGTAGGGCTGCTCAGTGGTGCAGTGGGTAGCGCTGCCTTGCAGCAAGACGGTTCTGGGTTCAATTCCCGGCCTGGAGTCTTTCTGCATGGAGTTTGCATGTTCTCCCTGAGCATGCGTGGGTTCTCTCCGGGTACTCTGGCGTCCTCCCACAGTCCAAAAACATGACTGTTAGGTTGATTGGCTTTTCTAAATTCTCCTTAGGTGTGTGTGTGTGTGTGTGTAAATGGTTGTTTGTCTTGTGTGTCTCTGTGTTGCCCTGCGATGGACTGGCGACCTGTCCAGGGTGGACCCCGCCTCTTGTACATTGACAGCTGGAGATAGGCACCAGCACCCCTTGCGACCCCACTCGGGACAAGCTGTAAGACAATGGATGGATGGAGTTTTACTAGTGTATTTAACTGAATTGACTTGGATCTAAATGATTTTTGTTGATAAATCTCTATATTTTGACTAGAAGTTGTGGTGAATTTTTTCTATGTATGTGCCGAATTATCTGTTTGAACACGATTTGACCTTGATTCACAGTTTAATTTTTTGTCCTGATATAATTTGATTTAATAACACATGTGCAACCCTGACTGAGCCAGAAATATCATGATTGCACAGCACTGCCATTACAAAATGAGTGATTGATGGCAACACCTGCAAAGGGCTAAACAAATGAAAGCTTCTGGGTTTTTATAAATAGAATAACAAGAGAGAGGATGGTACAGACAAATAGCTAACTGAAAAAATAGAGGCAGAAACTATCTGGCCTGTGGTTTCACAGGCTTCTTATCATAACCAGACAAGAGCATTTGATATAAAAATAAAAATGAAAATGTGTGATGTGTGTGAGATGTCAGATAGCTGAAGAGACGAGGCAGTGATCATTATTGAGTGCTGTTTTACCATAAAAGGATGACCCTGCTACTGATCATTTTGCTGCTCCTCTGTGCTCGTTCATATTGGGGTGAGTAACTTTTTAATGTACTCCTTGATTCAGTCTAATACCAACAATCTATGTTGTTATAGTGTTATTGTGAAGGTTAATTATTAGCTCATATATATACCTGAGAACTGGTGCCATTTGTGTATTACAGACCCTGGTTTCATGCATTGAAGTCTATATGACAATAAAGTGGTAAAACCTATATAATTATTTGTTTTTATTGTATTTTGAATAGGCCTAAAGGCTCATAGGTCTATTGTCCAAAAAATACAAAAACAACTAATTCAAAGCCCCCTGCTCAAAATTACTTCCAGTGGCCCTGAGTAGATGTCATTTCAATATCATTCTATTCTTTCTCGGTTATTCTGTTATAAACATTCTAACTGAACAAATCATGAGATTACATTCTTTTCATCTGAAAGTGGAAAATTAAAAAAGATAAAATACAACAACACTAATACTCTCAGTTATGTCTCTTACCAGGTGTTTTGTCGGATGCAAACAGTGTGATTCAGAGTCCAGATCTTTCTGTCCTGGAAGGAGAGACATTGAACATATCATGCTGCTGGAGCAACAATACTCAAAGAACCGGAATTCAATGGCTGAAAAACCAAAGCTTGATCAAGACTGAAACGGTCAACCTTCATCCTGGAGGTTCTCAGACTGACAAGCCGATGAGCTGCTCACTTCTGATGCTTACAAATATCACAAGCAGAGATTCAGGGACGTACATCTGCAAGATCACTGTGGAGATACCAGTTTTAGATGTGTTTGAGGGAAGCGGTACAACCATCACAGTTACAACCCCGGTGACCAGCACAGCTGGAGGTAGGTGACGGAAACACCAAAGATCTCACCAGATTAGAAGCTCAAGACTCAATGGTTTTTTTAATATGTAGAGCTGACCATCTGTATTTGTATTAAATCTAATGACATGATGCAAATTTAAAGTTTTAAAAGTTTAAAGTTGTCATGATCGGCAGGATTTCTAGCCCAGATGCAGAACACAGACACAGAGGCAGGAGAAAAAGTCCAAAGGTTTATTGGATACAGAGCAGGGTTCTTCCTGGAAGGCAGAGAGGACAAACAGGTCAGGTGCAGATTCAGGTTCCAGGGAGTCAGACAGGCAGGCTGGCTCGGGCTTGCTAACCATAACAGGGTCAAAACAATCCGGCTCAGAGTGGAGCTCTCCTCCAGCTTATGAAAGGAAAAAACCCTAATGAGCTGATGGGGAGCACCTGCTACAGCTGAACACAAGCTCTCAGGAAGGATCTATGGTGGGCAAGCCTCTGGATCCTGACAAAAGTTAGCTGATTTGCCAAAATCTGTATAATGTATAATAAACAGATGTTTCATCCCCTTTATCACACTCCTGAATTGGTAAAAGGCCTGTACTGTACTTATATAGCACTTTTTCAAGTCAGACCAAAGCGTTTTATACTACATTCACCCGTTCACATACACATTGATGAGCTGGATCTTAGCCACAGCGGCCCTGGGGCTCACTGGCAGAACCAAGGCTGACCACCATCAGCACGCAATGCGGGGGAAGTGTCCTTCCCAAGGAGACAACGACATTGAAAGCCAGAGGACTGGGGCTTGAACCATCAACCCTTTGATTTCAGGGCAAACTCCTACATTCGATGCCACTTTCGCCCCTGAAAGTATCTCTAATTTAAACATGGTTGACAGACAGTCAAATGTTTCTGTCCGTCTCAGTCGTTGTTTCCTTGGACCTTCACCCGCATTGGTTCTGTCAGTGAGCCCCAGGGCAGCTGTGGCTAAAATTCAGCTCACCACCATCAGTGTGCGTAAATGACTGAATGTTGTGTAAAGCGCTTTGGGATGCTTGGTATTGATTAAGTGCTGCTCATATAAAGGCTGTTTATCTTTTTATGGAAAAAATAGATGCAGTGGAATTTGGACCGAATTTAAAACAAGAATATTTTTGAAAGGGTATTTTGAATAGATGCTGTAGGATGTAAGATTTGCAACATTTAACTTTAGGACATTTTACATTTTTTGACCAGTGGTGGTTCCAGAAAGTGTTAAAGGAATAGTACACCCAAAACATGATTAGCCTTCATTTTCTACTCACCCCCATGCTGAACAACACTCTGGAGTACTTTTTTGATATCTCAAATGCATCTGGAGATCTGGGAGGCTTCTGGCTGTCTGCTGACATTCAAATAATGGAGGTCTATGGTGCCCGAGGCAGAAAGGTCCATAAAAGTCCACAAAAAACGTGTCAATATTCCTCCATACTGCTCGTCCAATGTATTCCAAGTGTCCTGAGTGGGTAGCATCCAGAATTTACTCGAAACGAAGTCATTTAGAATGTTTTTAGAGCATAAACAGTAGTGTATAGGATTTCCTGAAAGCGCGTTCACGACGCTACGGAAACCCCGGCAGACCAAACCAGACGAAAGTGCGCATTCAGCTGGGCAAAGAACTCATGCTCTTCCTCAACACTGAAGTCCTCAGACATTTTTCTTTCGTTGTTTCTTTCTTTGCACAGGTAAACAGCACATTTCTTCTTCTACGCTTGCATTATTGGCAGAGCAGACGCTGAATGCGCACTTTCATCTGGTTTGGTCTGCCGGCTTCCGTAGCGTCGTGAACGCGCAGGTGCGCGCTTTCAGGAAATCCTATACACTACTGTTTATGCTCTAAAAACATTCTAAATGACTTCGTTTCGAGTAAATTCTGGATGGACCTTTCTGTCTCGGGCGCCATAGACCTCCATTATTTGAATGTCAGCAGACAGCAAGAAGCCTCCCAGATCTCCAGATGCATTTGAAATATCAAAAAAGTACTTCAGAGTGTTGTTCAGCATGGGGGTGAGTAGAAAATGAAGGCTAATCATGTCTTGGGTGTACTATTCCTTTAAGTGCTGCTCATATAAAGGCTGTTTATCTTTTTATGGAAAAAATAGATGCAGTGGAATTTGGACCGAATTTAAAACAAGAATATTTTTGAAAGGGTATTTTGAATAGATGCTGTAGGATGTAAGATTTGCAACATTTAACTTTAGGACATTTTACATTTTTTGACCAGTGGTGGTTCCAGAAAGTGTTAAAGGAATAGTACACCCAAAACATGATTAGCCTTCATTTTCTACTCACCCCCATGCTGAACAACACTCTGGAGTACTTTTTTGATATCTCAAATGCATCTGGAGATCTGGGAGGCTTCTGGCTGTCTGCTGACATTCAAATAATGGAGGTCTATGGTGCCCGAGGCAGAAAGGTCCATAAAAGTCCACAAAAAACGTGTCAATATTCCTCCATACTGCTCGTCCAATGTATTCCAAGTGTCCTGAGTGGGTAGCATCCAGAATTTACTCGAAACGAAGTCATTTAGAATGTTTTTAGAGCATAAACAGTAGTGTATAGGATTTCCTGAAAGCGCGTTCACGACGCTACGGAAACCCCGGCAGACCAAACCAGACGAAAGTGCGCATTCAGCTGGGCAAAGAACTCATGCTCTTCCTCAACACTGAAGTCCTCAGACATTTTTCTTTCGTTGTTTCTTTCTTTGCACAGGTAAACAGCACATTTCTTCTTCTACGCTTGCATTATTGGCAGAGCAGACGCTGAATGCGCACTTTCATCTGGTTTGGTCTGCCGGCTTCCGTAGCGTCGTGAACGCGCAGGTGCGCGCTTTCAGGAAATCCTATACACTACTGTTTATGCTCTAAAAACATTCTAAATGACTTCGTTTCGAGTAAATTCTGGATGGACCTTTCTGTCTCGGGCGCCATAGACCTCCATTATTTGAATGTCAGCAGACAGCAAGAAGCCTCCCAGATCTCCAGATGCATTTGAAATATCAAAAAAGTACTTCAGAGTGTTGTTCAGCATGGGGGTGAGTAGAAAATGAAGGCTAATCATGTCTTGGGTGTACTATTCCTTTAAGTGCTGCTCATATAAAGGCTGTTTATCTTTTTATGGAAAAAATAGATGCAGTGGAATTTGGACCGAATTTAAAACAAGAATATTTTTTAAAGGGTATTTTGAATAGATGCTGTAGGATGTAAGATTTGCAACATTTAACTAATGGGGCTGGTCAGACAGGGGCCAAACTGCACTGAGGAGTGGCTGAAAACTGATAGGCACCAAACACATGTTATGGTCAATCTACACTGATCATCAGGAAAATAAATGTGCACAGTATTTATATTTTCAAATAAATCACTGAAGACAGACCAGATTTTCTTTAGGGTGCTTGCTGAAGAAGCTTCTAGCATATTTATACATAATGTGCTTTATACATGAATGTATGGTTCTACATAATATATACATTAAATGGGTGAAGCAATGCTCTTTACATCTGTTATTAGTCCTCTTTATTTGTAGAATATTGGTTTGAATTTTTTTTGCTGCATTTTTGTTTTCAGTTTTTGGTTAATATACCAGCAAACAGTCAAAGTTGGAAATTCTGCATGACGGTGTCGCTGCTGCCACCATCAGGCTTAGCAGAGAACTGCTTGTTCCAGCGTTTAGAATTAAATCCCAGGGGGAACAACCAATCATCTGGTAGGGGTGGCCACAGGGCTGGCCAATGATTGGCCAGGGGGGGGGCCATGCCCCCCTCCCTGGCCACCCCTCCTTTCTACAATGCAGCATTCCTTTTGACTGAAGTTAATGCCTTTTTTGTGCTTTTACCCAGTCTCATTTTTGTTTTTATTTTAGTTTTTTTATTTTAAATTATTTAGTTTTTAAATTTTGTCTTAACTGTCCTAACCACTAACTTAGAATAGATGAAGATTAATTGATTGGTGATTAATAAAACAGGTTCAGAGAAGTAGAATTATGCGAGTGAAGTTCAAGGTGCTAAATGCAACTTTTCTTAAAAACAATCTTTTCAAACATAATATATCCATAGAACGTCTAGAGTGGTGCAGAACAAAAGTACTATTATTAGATTAGTATATTTAAATTAATAGGTCCAAAAAAGTATCAGCATTACTTCAGGTTGCCATGCCAACATCAAGAAAGCATTCTGCACCACTAAGAATAGGCTCTATGCACAGCTCCACTACTTCCTGAATTTAAGGCAGCTCCTTTGTTTCCTGTCTTTCATGATTGGATGCACTGATTAATCCAGGTGTGTATGACCTAAGTAACTGGCCAGACACACCTGGATTAATCAGTTCGTCCAGTAATGAAAGACAGGAAACAAAGGAGCTGCCTTAAATTCAGGAAGTAGTGGAGCTGTGCATAGAGCCCATTATTGGTTGAAGTAATGTGAGATGGATCCTACCTGGCAACCAGCTGGCAAACAGTACAGAACAAGAGTGGGCGAGTGCGCCACTTAGTGGCCGGGAGGAGTTAACACTTCACCTTTTAGATAAAGTTGCAGCACCAGGAATATTTTTGTTTTCTTTTACTTTCAACTCCTGCAGTTTTATTATGTTGTCTTCTAACATTTGTGTGAAAAACAAAATATTTGTTATTAATTTTTATGTTTTCTCTTCTTTTGTCTCTTTAAAGGAATATCTGTTCCTCCCTCTTATAAAGAGTTCATCTTTGTCCTGAGATGTCTTCCCATCCTCTTCCTAATCACAGCCTTCTTCTATGGTTAATATTTCGTCAGTCAAACTCTGAAGGATCCACCAGAAAATGGAAAAACTGTTGCTTAAAAATCCAGAGCAGGACGCCAGCAGCACTGACTGATGTTCTGTTTCAGCTGCTGCTCAAATAAATCCTGTTTGGTCCAAAGAAGACAAGGGACAAGACAAAAAATCAGAGAGAAGAGGAGAGAGTGATAGAAGCTTCAAGAGCAGGAGAAAATGAGGAGACATTTAGATGAAGATTGTCTCTTCTTTAAGAGAGTTAACTGCAATAAAATGCATTTACTTAAAATATTTAGTTGCAGCATCGATTTGTGTGAAACACACATCAGATAATTGAATGTGTAGAAAAGTAGAGAAAGAAAATTCAAGCAATGATTGGTTACCAGAAATAGATAACAATTTAAATTAAGCCAGCTTTAGCGTTATATTTAGATTCAAAATTTGATATAAATCAGAACTAACAGCCCATGTATCAGGAGTGATGATAAAAGATTAAGCACAAAATCTTTAAAAAAAAGCAAAGAAACATTCTAATTTTATGCTTTACTAAGATAACTAAAGCTTAAGTAATTAGAAAAATAAATAATCTGTTGTGTTTCCATTTAATCCCTGAATTCTATGACAAA